AAAACTAAACACCTTGTTTATGGTAATTTTCTCTTTTTTTTTTTTAACTTAAAAGATGAATTTTTTTAAAGTTTTACTTTTAATTGAGCCCAATAGTTATTCCTAACTTTTCGTTGATTTGAGCTATAATCATTTTAGTTGTTCATTACCAGTTTATTGTGCATCATTTATAAAGTTTATGAAAGCTTTTTTTTCATTTTCAATCGTATATTTTAATCTAGTTACTGACTTATAATTGTTAATTCACTGTAATACTTTTATTTTAATTTTATGTTCGTTTTAAAGCAATATTAGTATAATCTTCCAATTTACAATTCTATTCACCAATTTGATTTGTAAGATCCCTTCACCAATCATATCCAAAATACAATGACAATAACTAAGACACAATTGACACGTACTATTGAACAATAACGAATCATTAATGTTGTTTTGAATTCAGTCTTTCCTTTCCCGTTTAGTATAAAACCTTAGATCGTCAAACGGTAAATCCTTATGTGATCTATATATGTGTTACAACTATGACAACCCTAAAGAAGGCCAATCGCACTGGTGACCTAGTGAAATCTCATTATACGTACTACTTTTCGTTGGACTTAATGAAGTAGATCAATTAAGTCCACCATCATTCTTGAAGCCACAATAGGGACCAAAACGAAATCACAAAGACCGCACACATAGATAAATACTATGATATGTTGGATTTTTCTTTTAATGTTACTGTAACTTGTTTTATAATGCACCAACATTTTTTTTTTTTTGTTAATAGTATTGATGTTTTGATTATTTTGTGCATAGAAACATTATTTCGGGATTTCGGCTTTCAACGACAGCTTAAAATGGGGTATCAATTATAGAGCACAAACGTTGACTTTGGACGGGTCACCATAACAATGGACTTATGTCATTCAGCACACACGCAACGATGATCAATGACACTTATTTTATGGATGCTACTGTTATGTTGGATAAAATAACATAAATTATAGAGTTTTGTTGCTTGTACAGAAGCGAAGCCATGGAATTTCAACAGAACACACACACGTCGATCCCGCGGAAATTTTTTTTAAATACACGATGGAGTACGCTCATTATGAGTTTTCTGGTAAAATTCTGTGGGAATATTTATGTTCATGGGGGAAAATGTAAATTATAATCCTCAACAGTCCCAACATTTCCTCGTCACAATTGGATGAAAATATTACAAAAGTTCACAAAAATACATACAGGATATTGTAAATTCTCAATTCTCAAACAACTGAATCGATTTCAAAAGGAATACATTGTCTACCAAAAGCTTCTCCAACCGTGGATTCATACCTTGGTCAATCAGTTTAATTATGACCAATAAATAATATGTGACTTAGAAAATGTGATTGTGACTCATAATTTATTAAATTGTGATCGAGAAATAACTTACGACAAATTAACTTTGTCATTTTTTACAGTTAAATAAGTCGTGACTTATAAAATTTGTAATTTATAATTCGTAATCGATAAATAAATTGTGATCTTTAATTTATTTTTTTTTATGATCAATTAATAAATTATGACATATAAAATTTTTGATTTGCGATTGTGAAATAATTTGTAACCTACAAAATTTTTGACTTGTGATCGAGATATAATTTGTAATCAATTAATTCGATAATTTGTGGCAAAATTGTATAGAATTATAATCTTAATATATTTAATTAATTATTTCATAAATAAAATTTAATTAATATCTATTTTTGAAGTTTTAAACCTTATTTCTTAATTTTTGAAATATGTCATATTAAATCTCTTAAATGTGATCTTTAATTTTTTTTTTATTTTCGGGTCGAGCCAATCAATTCTAGTGTGGATATAATTAATCTAACTCGTTTTACCATCACTATCTTGATTTATTGGATATCAAAAGCCTACACTAGAAAACAACAGGAACATACACTAATGCTGAGTGTAAAGCTATTGAAAATATTTTCAAGAGGGAAATCGTCCCGCCAAGCTCCTCAGTTCGTTTTACCCAATGTCCCCTGAAGCAAAGTCGTTTGGCTATAAACTTATTTGATTTTATTGAAAAAATGTAATTTCGATGTTAGTTAGGAAGTTGAATCTGATAAGGTTATTTGTGTTGAGATTTGAGTTAGAACCTGAAAATAATAATGCTATAGAAACTTTCATTCGGTCAATATCAAGGTTGAGACTGTTGAGTGGAGGTCAAGAACGTCAATGTTGTTTGACGGTGTTTTTAGGAAGGCCAACAGGGCTGGGCATGACCGAACTCGAATTTCGGGTATTTAGCAAATAGAACAGTTGGGTTCAAATTTAATTATGAACCGTTCAGTTTTGATTCCATTCGATTCAATTCGGTTCTCGAGTTCCATACAATAATTTGACTATGACATGTTCAATTTTAACTATTACAAAATAACGTAGTTCATTCTCGTGTATCTTTTGCACATTTATTTGTTGAGTTTTTCATAGATTTGAATGTTAAAATCATAGAAAGAGAAAAATGACGAGTTCATAATAATAGAACGACATTACAGTAGAATAAGAGATTTGGGTAAAACTTAGGTCAATTTGATTAAGTTGGGCTGACTGAAATTGGAAATAGTAAAATTATATTTTTGGTTCGAATTAAATTAATTAGTTAGCAAATTTGTTTTAAAAAATAAAAAAATTTCATATATTTAAGATAAAAAAATTTAAAAAATATAGGGAGATTCGGTTCTTATTTGGATCTTGGTCTAGAACCGAGAATCGAACCGACCCCGTTGGTTCTCGATTTAGATACCCGTTCGAGTATTTAACTTAAGAAGACCGCTCAATTCAGTTCATTTCGGTTTGGGTCCGGTTCGATCTGTTTCGGTTCGGGTGTTTTATCCATCTCTAAAGGCAAAGATGATTTTCCTCTTCAAATAAAATTCAAACTTATTAACGAATCAAATAAATGGAAAATATTCACTCAAGATCCAAATACTACAAAGTAAAATAGTTGGAGGACAGAATAAAGCAAAAAAGATTGGAAACTTTCGTTCAATTTGCTATACCAATGAGCGATTATAATTAAAGTCAACAAAATTTTGGTATAAAATTTGAAGAATGTGCTATATCTAAGATTAACATAAAAAAACGACTTTTACAATCCAATTTGAGAGAATCAAAATCAAAATTGTTTTTAGTCGAAGTTTGACCATTTCAATTCGATTCTCCGTCCAAACTATGAAATAAGGCTGGACTATTTTTTCACTTTTTTTCTGCAAGTTTTCTTTCAATTTTTTTATAAAGCCGGCTCACATTTTCACGTTTTTTCACACCTTTTCACTTTTTAAATACAGGTGACGCAAAAACAAACGTAACCGATGACGTGGAAAGAGATGGAAATTGGAATAAGTAAAGTCCATATTTGATACCAATAAAAAAATTGATTAAAACTTAAATTAAAATCAACAATTAATTCAAACTACACATTCTATACAATAGAAATTGTTAGGCTAACGCAAATATTTGAATGATTTCAGCCATGGAAGGCAAATTTGTGCAATTAGAACAAGATGTTAGAGACAATGTTTTGAATGTCAGCTAGGGCATGTAATCGAAAAGACAGAGTCGAACAAATGATAAAAAAAATATTTTAAAGTTCGAACTATTTGACTCTTTATTTGGCCCAATACGTTTCTTTTTCCCATGTGTTGGCAAGATTTAAGCCAATAATTTAAAAAATAATTTTTGAAATTAAGAGCGTGTTTGTGAGCAATTTTTGCGTGATCTTAATCAAAATTATAGCCGTTATAGTTAACCTGTGAGCCCCACCTGTGAGAGGAAAAGTCAAAAATGGTTGCTGATTTGATAGTTAACGGCTAGAATTTTGATTAAAATCTTGATTAAAATTTCTCCCAAACAGGGCCTAATGATCTAAATCTTATCACAGTTATTTTGTCTATTCTATACAATTAGATTATGAGCCTGTTTGTTTCCTATTAAAATCCAATTAAAATTCAAAATATGACATTTATTGGGTTTCACTCGTCTAATAAAAATCAACAAGAACAGCTAATTTTTTTTAATTTCAATCATATTTTAATCTCTACCGAGCCTGTCCTAATAGTTTTTATCTTTATCTACAACAAACGCTTAGGAAGCAAGAGAAAGTCAATTGGGTGGGTTTGATGTCGGCAAAACCACGGATTGCACACGCACGCACGCACGATTTCTCTCCCTTATAATATAGATATAGAGATAGAGACATTCGTGTCTCGTTGTTTCTGTATATTGGGTAAATTTTAATAATTGAATCGGAAGCATCAAGTTCTTTGAAGAAGATGGGATTGAAGGAGACTTTTTATATCTCACATGGCTCGCCGACGCTGTCAATTGATGAGTCGCTACCGGCGAGATCCTTTCTCCAGTCATTCCGGCAGGAGGTGTTCCCGGAGAAACCCAAATCCATATTGGTCATATCCGGTCACTGGGAGACCTCAGAGCCCACGGTCAACGCCATCGCCGGGGTCAACAATATTATCTACGACTTCTACGGCTTCCCGGAGAAAATGTACAAGATCAAGTATCCGGCACCGGGTTCGCCGGAATTGGCAAATAGAGTGAAAGAATTGCTCGAGGAATCAGGTTTTGTTAACATCTTGTTTAAAAACTGTTAGAAATGAGCTATCTATACTTGGATTTAAATCTTGTCTTTAATAGGTTTCAAGCGCGTGCACGAAGATAAAAAACGAGGATTGGATCACGGTGCGTGGGTTCCACTTATGCTCATGTACCCGGCGGCAGATATTCCGGTGTGCCAACTCTCCGTCCAACCAAACAGAGACGGGACTTATCATTATAATTTGGGGAAGGCATTGGCACCCCTGAAAGAGGAGGGGGTGCTCATTGTTGGCTCGGGCGCCACCACCCACAACCTTAGTAGGCTGCGCCGTGGGGTAGGCCGTGGTGGTGTCGATGACGGTTCTGTGGTCACTTGGGCTTTGGAGTTTGATAATTGGCTGAAAGAGGCTCTACTTGAAGGGAGATTTGAAGATGTGAATAACTACGTAGAAAAGGCACCATATGCAAAAGTTGCACACCCAAGTCCTGAGCATTTCTATCCATTACACGTAGCAATGGGTGCTGCTGGTGAAAATGCAGAATCTGAACTTATACACCATAGTTGGAGTTATGGTGCCCTCTCCTATGCCTCTTACAAGTTCAAGGCAACAAGCGGATAGCCAATCACGATATGTTTGCTAACTTGTTCTCCATGGGAGTGAACGAAATGAATTAGAATCTTATCTTTGAGCTATTCCCAACAATTCTATATACTTCTATTAGATCCTTGAACATGATTGTATTTCACTTCAATTTGTTATGTTGTACTTTACATGATTATGATAAAAAAAAAAGCACAGGGATTGTGTATATTTCGCGCATCATGAACAATAGCAACAATTATGATAAGCAACGGAGGGAGTTTGACCTATATATGTTTGGCTGAGTTTAAAAAGTTCACTGTTTAAATTACTTTTGTGCCCAACATGTTTGAGGTTTTTCAATAGTTATTTTTTGAATGGTTACTGTAATGTGCCTGACTTGAACGGCTGTCTCGACGTCTCCATCAAGAAATGGCGTGAGCTCAAAATTCATTTTCAACCGGTGACCTGTTGTCCTGAATTAAAGCAATTGAATAATCTTCAGAAGCCAAATCTTCATCTTTAAGAAAAGAAATATCAACATTCTATCCATTGAAATATTCCTCCAGAATCAGTGATTTCCCTTTGGTTTAACTTCGCTTCTGGCAAAAAGCAAGACCAGAAAGATATTGAAATTTCAAAGGCACTTATTCCTGAGAGCGACATCAAGGAGTTGCTTTATGATTTCCACACCATACATTCTAAAGAACATGGCTTTGCATTGCCTTATAGTTGTATGTCCTGAAATTTTCTGCACAAGCACCAGGGGAAACTACTTCCAGAAAACTACTTCTGCACAAGTATGCAACTCTATTTATACCAAAAGTAGTACACAACGACGACAAACAAAACCTCGTTCACCGGTAAGTTTTTCACTAATACTATACAAGACCTACAGTTGAGTTTTTACATATTTTTAATTATGATCGAGAAAATTTGAAGACCTTGAGTTTCTTCTCAAGCTCTTTGATCAAGCTTTCAATTTCAAAATATCATTTCGCCCATGCCTTCATCGTCACCCACCACTTTTGCTAAAAGCTGGGACAGAAAGAAATGCGTTTAGTAAGCATGATAAGTGTAACTTATCTGAAGTACTCTTAAATGAAGACTGTTGATATAATCTATTGTGTTGATTATAGTAGTTCGCCCTTTAACAGGTATTAACTACTAACAATAAAGATGCTAAATCCATATGGCTTTAGCCTTCTTGAGCAAGGGGACTAGTTTGCCCTTAACATGAAGACTCATAATCTCATTGGCCCCTCCAGTCAATTCCTGTCCAATGAACACAGTTGGTATAGTTGGCCTTGGTCCGGATGCCTGCAGTGCCGTTTCTAATTGCTGTCCATTGGGAAGTTCATCAAGTTCATAAATTGTAGGGTTTGCACCAAAACTGCATATAAGTGTTTTTATGGAGTGGCATATACAACAAGAGCTTTTGCTGAATATCACCACTGGCTTTTCTGTTGTCAATCTCATTACTGCATCCATAACTCGACCTCGAAAAAACCGAATGAAAAGTAGTCGAAAAAATTAAGAAAGAAGTTTGATATGCAAGATCAAGACTTGTGTAGGGTTGATGTTTAGAAACTCTTATCACTTATGGAGTTTATATATACCAGGGAAGGTGGTGGATTTGGACTTATGTGACAACAAAAAATGTGCAATATTTCCAAAAATGATATCTTAGATACCCACGTGTTTCACTGATTATTACGGACAAGTTGCATTGCATTATTTGCATATGACGAGATTGATGATATGGAAGAATGCCTTAATGCTAATGTACACATTCTCAAAAACAATCATGATTCATGTACAGGAACCCCGAGTCACACACATTAAATTTTTTTCGTCACTATTTTAATCCGTCATCAATCAGGGTAAATACGGTCATGACATCTATAAAATTCAATCTTGAAAATACAACATCCCACTTTTTACTATCCAAAGCAACACATTAGATTAGAAAGAAATCAACGTCACATATTGAACCGTTATAAGCTCAGAGCTGAGCAGGCCGAATTAATGCAATCCATCCATTGAAATGAGCTTTAAGAAAAGACAAAAAGGGGTACTTCGAGCTCAACACCGGCCCTAGTAAGAAGAATATATCTCAGGTCTTCAACGACATCCCCAAAGTACATCAAAAAAAATTATATATCCTTATCATCCTTGTAACATGGTTCCGATTTAAGCATCAACTATTAATGTCGGCTATTTATTGTAAAAGTAAAAAATAAAGCTAGTTGCGGTCGGTCATGTAATATATTTAATTTAAGAATCTTACTTTTACCAAATTTAGATCATTAAGGTTCATTGCTTTGGTGATGCCACGTTGGAGAATTATTTAGCCTATGATGAAAATAATTTTAATTAAATCACAGGTTGTTTGGAATATTTTATAATATTAAAAATAAGAACGTACAAACGCAGGGACGGAGATAAGGAGACAGTCTGGGCTAATTCTTCTTCTTCGTTTTTTTCTTTTTTTCATAAACATAAAAAAATTATATAAATTTTCTGCAAAAATATTTTTGTCCTCGCGTGACTCCGCTCCTGCTGCTGATGGAGAAATATGACATGACCTCCAACAAATAAAGTACAAACCTTATCCCACTCTTTGTAATCACGCGTTGTTCGCAAAAGAGATTATCGAGTTTTTAAAAAATTAAACTAATCAACTCGTTTTTGACCGCCTCAACCAAATGAGATAAGGCCTTAATCCACGTATGTGTTAATCTATTTGTACATAATAAATTACCCCGTCTCGTATAATGCGCGGGGCTCGAGCGTATTTAAAAATTCCGACAATGTAATCCCCATCCTCATTGTTGGTAGTAGGTAAAAGATTCTGTAAAAAAAAACTCGGTACATGTACCATGATCCATCCACATATTCACTATATTTGTTTTACGCACGTTTTCATTTACTTCTAGTAAGGCCTCCTGCCCTCTTATAAGTTCTCTGTACTTTATGTTTTTAGTAAATTAAAGAGTCACTATAAACTCTCTTGAACTAGTTGGTTTTCGAATCTCCTTTGGACATCATTTTGCTATGGCTCTCATCAACCATTGGTACCAGAGTGATTAGAAAATCATGAACACAAGATATGTTCCAATTTGCAAAAAGAGAAAAAAAAAAAAAAAAAAAAAACTTCAAAGAAAATTTTAAATTTTGTAGGAAGATTGAAACTTAAAAGAACCCCAATATTCATGTTGTAGAAGAGAGACACTTTTACGATTTTGAACATTATGTCGCCAACTCTATCTTGGGTATCCATGAATCTTTTTTACTTGTCGTCTAATAATAAACTTTAAAATTATGCGTATATTTTCAGAATAGGGGAATAGCATTATCAATTTTTCAGATATCAAATATAGACTTACATACAACCTCAAAAGAACAAAATATACATATTTTATGGGAAGACTTTACTTAACTGGCTCAAGAAAAAGTAAAGGGTCATTTCATTTTTCTCGACTCTTTAGAGACATGTGATATTAGTAACTAAGATATTGTTTCATAGGGATTAAAATTAAAATTTTAAGTTAAAATCAATAATTAATTTGAATAACGTATTTTATTGGATCCATAACTATTTAATAATATCTCATTAATTTTTATCAAAATCTAATAAAAAAATTGATTTTAATCCCTACCAATCAGGACTTAAATACTGTCAAGCACAATCATTTCATAGTTCCTGAATTTTTCTTACTTGGACCGCACACGCGACAAGTTCGAGACAATTTTGAGGATTAGAAATACAAGGGAATATGGATCACATTTGACACAATTTTAAGGATAACATATATGCCACGCTAAACCTATATTGTGCTTGTTTGTCACAATTTACAAGGAAAAATGATGTGACAAGATACCAATATCACATCACATAGTGTATACACAACGGATGTCATAAAATATTTAGCCCATGTTTAAGTCAAATTAAAATTTTCATTCTCATTTTTTTACTTATTTTCAATCACACATTTTTCAATAAAATAATATTTTCCATCACATCAATAAATTTTCCTTCTTTTTCAACCACACAATTCTCCATCAATCTAATATTCCAAAAACATTCTTCCAGACTAATGTGTTTCAAACACATCCGTAGAAAAATAGTGACATGATCAATGTGTTATAGACCACAAGTAAATTTTACACAACGAATATTATACAACGATGGTACTTGTTATTGTGTAAACTAGTCACAATAGAAGAACGAGATAAATGAATGAATATGGAGTCATAATAACTACTTTCTTGAAATTTAGGGTGGAATATGATGAGAGAGAAAAATACATGTATATATTTCACGTTTTGTCCTTACATTTTGGTCACCTTCTTTATCTTATACTACTTAACGTTGAAAGTGCATTGCGCGTTATTATGAAATGCTTTATAAGTACTGTAAAAGTAATATTTAGAGCCTGTTTAGTGTATATTAAAATGAGAGAATGCTTTTTTTTTGAAATGCATTCTTGAATATGGATATTCTTGAAATGCATTCTTGAATTTGGATATTCTTGAAATGCATTCTAATTAACTTCTAATTAGAATTAATAATACTGAAATGTATAAATAAAGATGAATATTAATTCAATAAATGTAAATGTTAATTAATTGATAATTAATAATAGAAAATTCATACATTAAAGAACGTACACAAGTGAATTGAATATATCAAACATACACGTATATTGATAGTAACAACAATTAAATAAATTAAATACATATTGAAAAACGAAAAGTAAGGTATTATTGAAATAACTGATTTATAGTAACTTAAAATTGTCCAAAAAATGATTCTTATTTGATTTGATATTTAATATATTATAGTTAAATTTGTTATTATTTTTCAAATTAAATTGGGAGTTTTAATTACCATTGGGCTTTAAACGGGCTTGTGGTTAACCAAAGGGTTCGTCCTATCAACTAAAAAGGGTCCATCCGTGTTCAAAATATCCTCTAGAGTTTTTCTGTTGGGCCTGTGATTTAATAGGGGTAGGGTTTTGAAAATTGGTAATTAC